AACAAGTTCTGTAAAATTCTCAGTAGTAGGACCCTCTACTCATTACGCAAGTCATCTCAGTACAGAACTAGTACTTTACAGCTTTGTTCACTTTGCACACCATGTTTTAAGAGGGGAGAGACTCAGACAAGGTTTTTGGCACAATAAAATAATGAACCAAGTCTTAAGCAGCTACTGTTCTCAGCTATGTTTTTTGCAAGAGTTTGAGAAGTACATGATTTCACGCGATTTTTTAATTTGCTTCACTAAAATCCTCTCGTTTTAATTTTTGGACATGTTTAGAATATACTGCAAAGTGAAATCAACTGTTTAGACATACTTTTCATACAACAGTTTTAGTCCACAGCTCTGTATTCAGTCACTTAAAAAAAACACACACACACAGATATTAGCCTGCTAATACATGAAAAGCTACTGTTGGCTTGATCACTAAGCAGCACTTTGTTACTATTGTGAGTAGGTGTACTGTAAGAAAGAAACTTATATTTGATCAAATTCTTCAGCACAAGGCCTGAACAATATCACATTGCGAGCCTGATCTCATCCTTTAGCTGGCCTTATCTTCAGCCACTTAACCTAAAATGCAACCATGGAGGGCTGCTACAGCACAGAATAAAATTGATGCATACAACTTCTGAAAACCATATACTTGCAGTAAGACTGTTCAGACACTTGAACAGTCCAGTTCAAGTCCAGTGGTCTGTTACATGGTCCAGTTACAGCCTACAAATCTTTGATGAGCCAAATCTGCCCCCATTTCTAAAACAGACTCATTGACTTTTACCTGTCAGTGTCTTGATTTTTCTTCTTGTCAGTTTTACCTATTTTAAGATGAGCCATACCTTACGTATCCCCCCTTCCCCCCCCCCGGCGATGAGGCTTTGCCTTTACTGCCGTACTCAAGCCTAATTTTTCACCTAGGCTCTTCTGAAAACAAGCCTTAGGCAATGAATTGGGCTGAGTATCTCTTGAGGCCAGAGGGTAAAGTTCTTGAAAATAAAAGGAGCTTGGGGGGGGTGGGGAGGGCGATGAGAAAACAGAGATACAGTTCTACAGGAAGCTAAGTTTGTTAGAGATCCTACTTTCATTTTACTTTCAAAGGCCTGTAAGCAAAGTCCATAAAGCAAAGCGGTCAGCTCTGACGGCTCTATGTCAATATTGTTTAGTTTGGCATAGCATATAGTTTAAAAAGAAACAAACTTAAATTAGGTACAAATCTGGGGGATTAACAGGTAGTGTCTCTATTTATAGCCACTTGAGGTAGAATTTTGTAGCAGCTGTTATTTTTAAATTGTTAAGAATTAGACGAGCCTTAAATCAACTGTGTTAAGGCCAAATAAAAGAAGTTTTTAAAAAAACAGCAAAAAGAATGAAAAATAAAGCTATGTTAAGAATTTAACTAACTACTGTATTGGTAGTATAGACAATATTTTAAACTCAAAATAGTTATGTAAGTAAGTAAACTTGGCTTATGAAAATTTTTTGCCGAAAAACTCAGAAATGGTCCAAGTATAAAGTTTTAAAGATAAATCTTGTAAACTCACAGAAGATACTAATTCTCAGCAGTACCTTCAGAGCTCATCCAGAGCTGTTTCTTCCCAACTGAAATTAATATTAATCATCTGTTGATTTGACAGGGAGCATCATAAAATAGCTGCACTTGGAGCTCTGTTTCAATACAACACAAGATTTTCTTCTTCTACTGCTTGGACGTAGCGTCAGTACTTTGGTTCCTCTGTAAGTTAACTCTGCCTGTCTGCCAGGATATCTAACAATTTGTTTTTAATATGAAAAACAACAGAAACATCACATTTCAGGAACTAAGATTTTATGCAAAAATCAAAAGAGTCTGTTTTAAGCATGAATTGAGATTTAAGAGTTTCATGAAATTTCTTTCCTGTGCTACAGTACTGGTACTATTTTAATACTGCTTAGTTATTCCATCTGAAGATTCTCTAAATAGCAGCGCAGAAGTTAAGCATCACTCTGTACTCCCCCTTATAAATCTCTGTCCCTACCTTAAAAAAATATATCGGCATTTCTATAAGTATATATACACATACATACAATGAGAGTAGTAAAGCAGTAATAATGGGAGACTGCAAGTAAAGGCCACATGGTACCTCCTTTTTAACTCAGTCCCAGAAAGATTTAATTCAAGAGCCAGATGGATGTTGGTTTAAGTCTTAGTCGAACATTTCTCTTCTCTCCAGCTCCGATAAACAGCTTTCCGGCTTCATTGCTTTAGACCATTTAACTCATTTCTGGGAGGCTCAGCAAAGAAACAAGTGAGTAAGAGAAAGGCCATTTACTACAGTTAATTTTACAGAACTTTTTAATCTTTCTTTCAGGTCAAAGCAGAACACTAGTAAGACAGTAACTAGTGTTTCTGCAGCTTCTGCCTATCTTGCATGCTTCTGTCACCAAAAGGACCAAGTACACCAACTTGTCTGTAACAGTCAGTAAATGCTGTTGACTTTCAAGTTCCACTAGTACACACTGGTTCTACAAAATCAAGACTGTTGATATTTTTTTCCCCCAGCCATCATTCATTATGTAGACTCCTGTAGTCTATGGCACTGAGTTACTCCTTGACAAGAGTTTAAAGTATTTTATTCGTTCATTGCTGTAATATACTGGAAAGCATTATCATTTGCACAACATTTTTATATAAAAGACTGGGAGTAGCTGTAGAAAAAGGGAAACCTGACCAAATTTTTATTGTTGGTGTAACAGAAATCTGCCGCCATCATCCATGTTTTTCCAGTCTGCACAGAGGCCATGCAACACAGAGGAATTTAACATTCATAATTCCCAAGTATTAGCTTATGTTCTTTTGCATATTGTTTATGGTAGACAGCGATGAGCTCTGACTTTCAAAGCTGACTAAAAGCTTCTTGTACGATGTCTCGTTGCATAATATGCCAAATAATTTATTCAGCAATGTCAGTAGTTTACAATACTGTTAAATCATCACTAATTTGGCTGACACATTTCTAGTGAATACTAAAGAGCAGCTATAATTAGTATATGCCACATACCTCAAAACCAAGCCATATCCCAAAGTGCTAGGCAGAACAGAACCGCTCAATACTGTTCCAAGACCATAGGACTGTTGAAAACCGTTCACATCCCAGCATAATCATATTGGAAAACTTTGACAAGTCAACTTCAGAGCCAATGAAAGTGGACGTTTAATATCAGACATTCATTTGAATATTCAGGAAAATTTCAAATTTGCTACTGTTGCCCCATGGCGAAAACATCAGCAAGCACACAGGGACTTGAAACAAGTAAAAGGCAGCTCCAGAGGGACTAAGCTCTCCCAGCTGCCCACCTTTGAGCTATGTCACAGTAAGACTAATTTTGTCTTACAGAGGCACTGTCCAAATATTCTGCCTTTTTACTCTCACATCTAGTTAAATTTGTCTATAAAGAAAGTCCAGCAAAGCCACTTTCATCAAAGAGAGCGCTCAAAGGAGGTCTGCTCAGAGTTCCCAGCGGCCAGCAGCTTGCTGAAGTAAATGACTGAGCACTGCAACAGAGTTGGATTGTGAGATACAAAAATCTTAGTTTATTTAACAGTGTTGTTAACATTTAATACAAAGACACAAAGCATTCTCATATTCAGGACTTTACGGATTTTATTCCATCTTCTCTACCACCCAAACTCTGTTCCCGAAGAAGTGACAGGGAATAGCACTGAACAGATAGTCAGTTACTTGAGGGGCTTTAAATTTAGCTTTGCTTTTAATCCTTGGCCAACCTTATTTCCTTTTAAGGAAGCTTTGTAACATTCCTATTCCTGTTCTGCTCCATTGACTCAATGAACAGGTACAAAAATATGGAAAATTCTAGGACAATCTAGAATTCTGTTCTACTTTCAATTTTATTTCTGAAGTCCTAGGATTCCTAAAAAGGCTTCTTTGAAACGAGCTGTGATTAGCCCCATTCAAGTGTTAGATGCAAGAGGTTTTATTGTGTTTTTTTTTTTCTTTAATAAACTCATAGTGGTCACAAACGTCAAACCCTGTTTTTAAACATCTATAAAAGCATTTATAGACCTAGATGTCTAAGCTTAGGCCATTAAAAGGTTAACTCCCGATAGTCACTGCAATGTCTTCAGTTTTACGGCTTATTCTGGAAGTGCCACAAGAAGAATCTGAAAGATACAAAACACCAGGTTTACATAACTGGCATTAAAGCAAAATTTATTAATCTTTACAAAGTAGCAGCTATCTGTTGTTCGTAGTCACAGGGGACAACAGTTTACTTTAAACTCACTAGGGAGTTAATTTTCAGAAGTTTGAGCACCTTTGCTTTTGACAGCAGATCTGAATTTAGGTCAGCTAAGGACAGCCTGCATCTACAAACAAGTTGTACGCCTGCGCCCTGGAAGACCCTATCACACCCCCACACCCATTGAGACACACCAGTTAGTTCAAAACAATTACTGGAACCACGTGATGCGATAGACAAAACACCGCTTATCACAAGACTAATAGAAATGTCACATGTCAACTCTCAGCAAGTCTTCCAGGAGCTTCATCAAGCAACTGTCACATCTCATTTGGGTAATGAGCAGTAACATGCAACATGAGCATCTCGTGTGGGAGTCGCTTTAGAGGCGGAGCAGCACATTGCTCTCCAAAGGATCGCCACCAAAATGTTCTTGCAAACTCTGCTTCTTGCAGTTCAGGAAGTTAAAAGGACTGAGCTGCTCCCCAGAGTCCCGAGATCACCGAATCTTCCCTCTCTGCCCTCCTCTCAGAGCGTAGACCCAAGCCACCCTCACCCTTGTTAGCATGATTAGAACAGACCTCGAAGAGCTGTCCTTCTCATGCTGCATCTTCAATTGTTTATCCTAGATTTCTGAACTTACTTAAATTACATCCACACAATGAAGCTGGTGGTTCCCTGAAAAAGGCCTCTCCCACCCACAGCTCTTGACCACATCATCCTAACCCTTGACACTGCACATGCAGGTCGCTTTATCCACCTTGACAGGGATCAGCTCCTTAGCTGTGATCAGCAACAGCTTAGAGCCAGGCAAAGAATACCCTCCCTATCTAATCAACTCGTGCAGCATTAACTTCTCACAACCACCTGCTGCACCGTGTAAAGCATGGAATAAGGAGTAAGAAAAATTCCACTGATTTTCTAGCAAAGCAGGTAGTACACTATCAGCACCACTTCCACCAGCATTTTCAGATTCCGCAGAGCTCTGCTACTCTCCTTAATCCTTATGGTTATGGGGCAAGAAGCATTCAAACTTGAATTTTCAACAGATGAATTTTTTTTTTAAAGCATGGGCAGAAATCATCTCAGAGACGGAGCTGTCAGAGCCAAGCTTTCTGTTCGCTAACTAAAAGTCACCCCTTTAGAGCTGAAGAGTTTCCCTTGTATTTTATAGTGCATCAGTTATCAAATGAGGTAACTGTCAAGTGGCAGGGCAACTACTGTCTTGACTTTATTTGGAACAGCTCGTGTCCATACCACCAAGTCTTGCAACAGGGAGGGAGCACCACTGAAAGTTTACAGCTGTGAAGAGTGACCGAAAAAAGTTTTGAGTTCTCACACCAAAGAATAAATACAAACTCAGGACCAATGACAGCTGTTCAGATTTATTAGCAAACACAGGGATATTCAGAGACTTTCCGAACCCCAGCAGTATTGAGGGCAGAAAATAAAAAAAAAAAAAAAAAAAAAGGGCAGTGGAGAAAAAGGAAAGCAGATATGCACCACCTCCCCCTAACAGCCCTTCTTGGTGACTGCAGCCTCTTTCTCAGCGACATTACAATCTCAAAGCAACTACTTCCGATCCACTTCTGCTGATTTTCTTCAGCCTCTTTCTCCTTCCTATCTGTGTCCTCTCTTCCTTCACCCCTTCCCCTTTTTTCCTCCCACAGCCTTTCTGCTGTCTCCCCCAAACTTTTGCTCCAGTGTTTAAAGTGGGATAGTTCTGTGCTCACTCGTTAAGGCAAGAGCTGGTATTCTCACTTCTGAGTGAGCCAAGAGAACGGGAGCAGCGAGGAATGCATGTAAACTGCTACCGCTAGTGGACGCTGCTCAAGCAGGGTTGAAATTAGAGCTCCACGGGGCCTGTAGGTCTCCATGAAAGCAGTCCCACAATTAGCTGTTCTTCGTCTCCCACCCAGCACTGACTAGGAAACACTGGCACATCTTGTAATGCTGCTGACGGTGGAAAAGCGGTAAAGGCAATGGCAGGCAAGAGGGCACGCTGGCACAACTGTGTAAACAGGAAGTTTTCTGCAAGTCGTTAACTTTTAACAACAACCCCATCCGAGGAGCTTGGAAACTTTACCAGGAACCAAGGACTAATACCTGCTCCGCTTACAGTGAAAGAGAGGGACTTGGGATGCTGTGAAGTTTTCTGCCCCCTTGAAAGGCCTGGGAAATCTTGCACACTAAGGGCGAAATAATGGATACTAAGGACAGTAACTTCCCAGCAACGCCTCCAGTATTCACACATCAGCATCTAAGAACCCTTCTGAGATCAGACGATTCTTAATCCACTAAATCTACTGAAAGGTTGATCTGTCTTCCAGACAAGCATGTACGTGCAGGTTACCCAAACAGGGTGACAGTTCAAGCTGGTAAGTCACTCTGGACAGCTACATAACCGTTCACGGAACAATACAACTATCTTTTCCTTGTCTAAATCACCATCATCCTTATATCTCAAGATACCTCCTTTAGGCAATCTGGGATAATTTACATTAAACAAATTAGAGAGAAAGAAGGCTCTGCACGACTGAAAAGCATCGTTGTCTGAAGAGAGAAGAACTTACAGCAGCTTACGTCCTCCTCAGTGATCGACTTCTGCATCTTCAAACTGCCCTGCAACTGCTGGTGCTATGTCCACCTCCATCCCATCTGGAAAAAATAAAAATAAAAATAAAATTGCCAGTGCTACCAGTGCTATGCAATACTGCGGCGCTCCTAAACGGATGGGATTATCACATAAAAGAGAGCGAGTGCCCTCTGCTGGTGAGAAATTACCCAAGCAGAAAATACCTTTGCTGAACTTCTTAAGTGCCCTAAGAGAACACTGATGTGCTCTTCAAGTTGCAGATTTGTTCCAACTGTATTCATTAGTCACTTAAAGATAAGATGTTGCCTCTTCCTACAAACCTTGTCTCACGCTATCCTATTAAAAGATTTAAATACTAGATTTTAAATACTTGATTTTTTAATTTAAGATTTTGTGCAACTAATGGCATGAGTGATTTATGGCTTCAGTTGACTCAAAGAGAAACAGAACAGTGGCTCCGAAACCACTCCCAGAAATCATCAAGTTGGGAAAAAAGTTTGAGCCCCCTCAGCTACAATGACAAAAAATAACAGGAATTCTGAAACGGAGAGCAGCCCCTCTGGATACTAATAGGCTTAGCAAATCAGCAAGCAGGAGCACAGAAAATAAGATGAGAAAGGCTAATAAAATGGCTGAAAATGACCCAAGACATGTGATACACTCACTATTTAATTTATTTTAAAAATGCGGGCATTCGAAACCAGATGAAAACTTTCAAATGCAGGACATTCCACAAATGTAAGTATATAATATGAAGGCGTCTTTAGATGATATAACGTAATTGACAAAGTTGGGGAGCAAAGAGAACCTATAAACGAGTGACTAAAGCAATTAAAGATTAAAAAAGAAATCATTCAAATGCATCAGTAATGCATTAATTTTACTATGATGACTATTCTAGGCAAGCTGATAGTTAGAAACCCACAAGAGCTATTTCATTTTCCAGCACTAATTCCTTAAAAACATGAGGCCACAGTAAAACACTGAGTTTCATATCATAAGAGGAAACAATATCACTGAACTACTTTTGTCCTTCTCCCAGAGAAGGCATTGCTCAGGTGAAACAGCATGCAAAAAGGACAAAATCTGAGAGCTTTTTCCATCCAAAAGAAATCTAACTCCTTAAATACAGGTTTAAACAACTAATAGTATTCAGAGACTAAGACGTTCAGAAGGCCAACTTTTAAAAAGAGTAGATTTTTTTTATTTGTTCCAGTATGTTTCCAAGACTATGAACTCACACTGCTTTTAAACAGAATTATTAGCCTACACTATAGGATGCTTTAAAAAAGCAAACAAACAAAACCACTGTTGCCTATTTAGAATGGGAAATTGCTTCCTAAGCCCAGTGTAGAGCGACAAGTTTCATTTTTCTGATCCTAAGTCAACTTCACCCTACTATTTCCTACTATTTAGGAAACTGTATCAATGCAAATCAGGACTTGTTAACTTCTTAAATCCATGACCTGCAGCAACATGCTGCCTATAGGGCCACAGACCTTTTTATATCCTGTGGCTGTGAACAAAGATAAAACTTGCCACTGACGCACGCAGCATGATATGATATTATCCATAGCATGATACTGGCTCAGTGCCGGTACTTATGGACTAGACAGATTGGAAAACCACTGCATAATATATTCTACAGAAGGCAAAAAGCATGTCTTACCTTCAAACTCCCTTACTGAGTCTTCTGTTCGCACTCCAGCCATATTGTACTGACTGCTCACAGACTGGGCTAACATACCCTCTAATCTCTCCAAAGTGGCCTGACCTTCTGCAGTTAAATGTGACAATCCTTCTTCGTAAGTGTAAAAGCTCGGGATGTCACCTTGTCCTAGTTCTGCAAAAGCAAGTTTATGTTCGTCACATATACACTTAGGAGCCTGGATCGAGCAAGGGTGGGGGGAACGTGACAACAATTAAATAAATGACGCTGAGATCAGCGCGCACACAGCTACTGAGAAAGGTTATAAAGCTGCTTATGTCAACAACATAATACAGTAGTTACATGAATAGACCAAGCCATAGCATGGGCACTGAGCTTGTAAAAACACGTCCTCTGGGAACAAGAGAGATACTAATGTCTCGGGGCTTTTGAAAATGAGAACAATAGAATTTGCCATGTTTAAATGACAAGTTTTATGGCAAAAAAGCAGTGTGAAATGCAGAAATGAGCAGAAAGGAAGCTTAGGCGAGATCAGTAACAAACAAGGAACTTCTTAACATACAAGCATACATACAATACAGACAGAATCATTCTCATGACAAGAACTACAAGAGAAGTTCCAGGTGCTGATAGCTATTTGAAAAGAAACAAGTATTACTAACCATGTGCCTCAACATCATACTCTTCCCCTTCGTAATCATTGTCTGAATCTTCATCTTCTGGATCTGGGTGCAGAGCTTGGCACTCACACATCGCTGAAAACATGGCTTCCACTGTACAAACACAACAGAATTATCTTCTCAGCAAGCGGCCAAAGACGATGCTAACAGTTAACTTGCAACGCTTTAGTCAGCTGGCACGAACCACAAGAGTTGTTTGTGTGTTGTTTAAGGTAGGTATTCCTCAGCCGGGAGGCCAGTAACCTGCAGCACTACCTACCAGCTGAGACCAGAGGTGGACTCTGAGAAACCACATTTCTGCAGCCGGGCTCCTATCTCACCTGGAAAATAGCAACTTACAGCTGGGATGTTGTTAGGAGCAACTTTCATCCTATCTTAATGGCTTTGCCGTGGGTCCAAAAAAAATCAAGAAACAAGTGCTACTTTCACCTTAGGGCCTAGGAAGCTTCAAGGTTAGGAAGCTTAAGAAAATAGCTAGTGATTTATAACTGGCACACCCTGGTCACGCATGGATATGACCAGATACTGAGGATCTGCCTTGAAAACACACGGCTGCTAGAAGCAGCATTTCCTGAAATACACTAGGACAGCCAGGAGTTGCAGAGATGGAGAGAAAAGCCTGCCTTGTTTCTCCATCAATACCCTGTAACAAAAAGCAAGAACTCTGGGACTGAGAGGTCAGAGAGAATGGAACATTCCTTTACCCAAACAGCCACAGAATTCTTATTTGCTAACATGACCCAACAAGCCAGCAGCCATGCTAAAACCAGATCAGGTTTCCTAGATCCATTCGGGTGCTTTCTCCTTTGAACAGTGCTTTTTTTGCTATTTTGCTGATGATGAAAGTGGATTGTCCATAGACAGCCCTATCTCAATCTGTGTTTTTTTCACTACAGGATTCCTTGTGGCATCTAATACAGAAGATTCTTAGTACTTAGATCTAACAATACGCTCCGTAACAGTTTGGATATGGCTGCTTTCCAGTGGTACAACATCTGGATGTTGGCATGTTCCTAATGAAATTATCACTGACTCAAATATCACTGAATTTGTACTTTAAACATCTTTATGTTTACCATCTAAGTTCTCCACAAATTTAGATACATTACATTACCTGTGTCATGTATTTATACTTAAAATTTTCTTTAGACAGCACTGAAATTTTCGTGGAGCGGCTGTTCCAACATATTTCAACTTAAATCAAGATAAAATTATTTTCTTTGTTCTTCTCAGCAGACAGAAATCAAGTAATTGGCCAAGGACACTAAGGTTCATATCATTTACATCTCTGCATCTGAGCGTCTTCCATATAGAACGAGGAATATTAACACTTCAGTCAAGCACTGAGCTTTTATTTGGGAAAAGCTATAATACGAGCTCCCTTTTCACTTACAGGCTGATTTGTCACTAGGTACAAATCTGAATTCTGCAATTGGTTCAATATCATCGTCACTGTCTTCCTCCTCCTCCCCTTCAGCCATGGGTGCTTCTTTTGCATCTTCTTCTTTAGGGAATGGAAAGATTTAAAATAAACATGTTTATTTTGTCAAAAAAAAAAAATCATTTATCTATCTTTTCAGGAACATATATATAACCAGTCAGAAACCTGCACAAAACCTGTGAGCATTCTGTAACCTGGCTTAAGTTCCATAAACACAGATAAAACACAGGAAGGCCTTTATCTATTGCACCACTTTTAAGCATGTTGTGTTATCTTGGAGCACTGCAGCCCTCTAATCCTCAACCTCAAACGTAACCTGGGAAAAAGAAAAGCCCAAACAAACCAGCTCTCCCCAACACTGCGATCAGCACCCTTCCACGCTCTGTGCACTGTGTGCACCCTCCCTGACCGTGCTCACAGCGCACACAAAGCTTTAGGGATCTCGGTTGCTATAACACTCACTATTCGCGTACATCAGGAAAACTGCTAGATTCTTGTTAAAGATAGCTGGGCTCGAAACAGTGTAATTCGTGATCGTTATCACTTACCTGCCTGGTGATAAAAATAATTTATTTTAAACACCGGTAAGTTTCATGGATCCTTAACACTGCTGTCATGAAATCAACTGACTTCCAGGTTGCCCTTCACAGAGGTCTGTGACATTTACTGAAGATCTACACTCAAGTTTTTTTTTTTTTTCCCTAGCCAGGGAGCAAGATGGTAGAGGTGGAAAGTACATCTCAGAGCCAAAGACAACTGTGAGCAGAGAAGTACTTCCCGACTTCTGTGAGTTACATACTGGAATAACTAAGCAATAATGAGACATTTGCTTTTCTGTAAACACAAAAACACACAGAAGATGGCTATGATTCATCACTCTGTGGCTGGGGACGCTGAGCTGACAGCTTTGAAAGCACATAATTGACTTTCACCAGAAAAATAGAAATACAGTAAAGCTATTCCACAGAGAGTGGCTTTGAGCACATACAAAACTGGGCAACAGCACCAAGGACATTAAAAAGCCAAGAAGCTGCCAGCCAGCTGCCTCCAAAAATAAAACGTCCCAGGAAGTTACCCAATCCTTGCCCGACAGACATCAGTAGGCACAGCTTGCTACTGCTAAGTCCAGCTCTGTCTTCAATAAAGTCAACCTCTGAGTGCCTTTCTTCACAAAAATAGAACAAAAAAAAGGGAGGGGGGGGGAACAAGGATAAGGCTTACACACACATATACACACACAGCACAATAACAACTTTCAGAGGGTGAACAAAATGTACCCTACCCAACTAGGAAATCAAGACTCCTGCAGCCACAGAATTTGTGAGCTCTGGATTTAATATTATTCAACAGACAAACACACTAGGACAGGCCAGGGTTAGATCTGAAAACTAAATGTTCACGTTTCCCTAGCTGTAGAAGATTTACTGTAGCCAGAACTTACACCAAAAATCAGTCCATTAAGGATTCATAGACAAGAGAGAGAAATCTATCACAGGAAGCGTTTCATATTTTCAAATAGTAGTATCAAAATGAATTAAAAGCAGCAGAGAACAGCCTGTCTCAGACTAGACTCAACTAACTTCAGAATAAATTAAAGAAAAGTAAGGAAAAAGAACGAAGAGATGTACATATATGTGTTTTGGTATTATCTGCAATAACAGACTGTCAGGGAATATTAGTAATATATGACAGAGAAACAAATAATGAGAAGCGTTAATAGACTGAAAATGTCTCTGCCTCCCCAGAGTCTTGTCAATAGTTTAAGCATATACACTATCTAAGCCAAAATTAAATGCAAGATTTTAACCTTTAACTACAATGACTAATAGGTGCTAGGAAGAAAGGATATCTGTTAAGACTTAACACTCACTACTCCTTAGTTAAGATGATACAATTTATGACACAATCAAATTAAAAAGGTCTTCCAAAAGAAAAAAAATGTTGATACATCAAAACCAAAATACCCTTCAAGTGAACAATGAAATAAAAAGTTTTCTTTCCCTAGGTCATGAAGAAACAAGCTTGGTTAGAAGGTTAAATTTTGTGGGAAATTTTTAAAGAATTGTTATGCCTGGTTAACATGAGCTACTATCATATATATTTTTTTAAATAAGCTGTAGGAAAAATTAGAATGAAAGCTTCCAGGTTAACATGAAGCACCAGGCACAAAACCTGAAGAAGGTTGCAATAGTAACAGAAATTCAGTAAAGCAAGAACGATATGTAAGCCCTGGGATCACAGGCAGGCAGCAGGTGAATAAAATTGTTTAAAGTAAGTACAAGGGAGGAGAGAATTGAAGTTCAGTGGCTCCAGCAGCACATAATCTCATGCTGCGATGCAGAACAGCACAGAAGGGACTATAAGCCAGGGCAAAGCTATTCTTCTAAAATAATCCTCCTTCAGCGAAATGAAAAAGAGAAACCACAAGATACCATTTAAAGGAACCATATACTTTTCAAATGCACAGTTTACTCCCTTTCATAACTGACAGTTTGAGGAAGAAATCCTGCCATTCAGGACAGCATAAAAACAGTAAGCAACATTTGGGGCATACCTTCAAATTTAGCATTCACCATGACATACAAATGTTCCCACGGGTAGGCATTTAGGTCCCTGGAGACAGCATGTAAACTGATGGTGGGATAATCCAAGGAGAACCCAAGTCCAGAGTTATCCAGCCAAGACAGGCGACTAAAAAAGGGGAAGAGAGAGACCAGTTAGAGACTCACAAAGGAATCCAAGGCACCTGGCTCACACCTTTAGAAAAGCAAATCAACCCAAACAAAAAGAGTAATTCCTCAAAAGGCGGACAAGGCACTTACCCCGGACAAGGCACTTACCCCGTTTGCCCCGTTCTCTACTGATGTGTGATCCTGGAACTGTCTTAACAGCACCTTGCAACAGCATAGCTTATATTTAAAGGTAAGAGAACCCTTTTCATAAGAAACATGAATCTGAGCACCCTAAACAAACTTCAGCTTTATTACATTTGCAATAAAGACTGAGTTTTTTCTCCCTACCTCTTCAGTTTCTATACCCTGTAGATGATATATCACCACAAGGATAACTGCACAGGTTCCAGTGTATAATTTATAACTCAAACCATCAAATATTCCATGTTTTTTCAAGACCAAGTGTACACTAGGGAAGGAAGATCACCATCACAACTTCTGGAGAACAACTCTGATGTGAGTACTGCCTCTACAAACGAGCGGCATGTGGGAAAACAACTAGTTTTGTGATCAGCAAAACCAACAAAGTTGTGGTTTTATCTCATGCCTTATATACTCTAACCTCTGATTCCCCACGTTTTCACTCTCACCGCAACTTGAGACAGCACAAGTTGGGCCCAGCTCAGAGCTACGCAGCTGCCAGTGGGCTGCTACCTCTTTCATATCAGAAAAATCACCGTACTTCAAGCAGCTGACAAACTAAAGAAATAGTTTTGGGTGGTCTGTGACCAGTGAGGTCACATGCCTCACAGAAATACCAAGCGGCAGAAGCTGAGACCTCTGCCGCTCGTGACAGTCGACAGGCTGTTCAACTCTTTTGGCTGGGGGATGAAAACGGGAACGGTCACAGAAGATTCCTCGCCTCAGGAAATCAGGCTAAGAACAAGAGCTAACGAAGTGGGAGCGAGGAACTTCTTTCCTAACCTGGATCGGCCAGTCCTCAGTGTTTACAGTTGTTACCGCAGAGTCAGTACTTGGATCCAAAGCCTCACTGTGCTCCCACAGGATGGGACTCCCGCATACGATGGCTCTTTCTATTCTCTACCAGAGAGAGAGACTCTGGTAGAAGCTTTGTAGCATACTAGCAATGTTCTGGGAGAAAGCTGGCAGGCTCGTGTGAGCCTCATACAACAAATCCATTGAAAGCAAGACACAAGGAAACTCAGCGTTATACATATGGAAAGCATACCCGTGTGAACACAAGCCCTTGTATCTGCAACCAAACAACTAAACAAAGCGGTGTTTGAAAGCCCAGTCAGCTTCTGCTACAAGAGGAATACGACACATGAGTGCTGGCTCAGGTGGTTCTCACACATAATATCACCAATTTTAAGAAAGTTTCAGGATCTAGATGTTTTAGAAGGCAATACATTCCTCAGTGAGTATTTTAGATCATCTGATTCTTCTAAAGACACTTTTCCATTACAAAGAAGCATATTGAGAGGGCTTTTCCCCGATTAAAAAATAATACATTGCCTTAAACAACAAACCGCCCTCTGTAACCGTACGCCGCAAGGAGAACATAAAAGAAACTATAAAGAGCGTATATATAACATCTGTTCTTCTGGAACAACCTAACTGACTTCTGCCAAGTACAAACGCACAACATCCACGTGAATGACGCGACGGATTTCACAGAAGCGCGGAAACCGCGAGCGGAGCAGAGAACCCACGGCCGCGACCAC